CAAGTGATTAGTCATGCTAATTAAGTATAAGTTAATTAATGTTCAGGTAAGGTACAAACTTGCTTGTCAAGTGATTAGTCATGCTAATTAAGTATAAGTTAAATTAATGTTCAGGTAAGGTAACAAACTTGCTTATCAAGTGATTAGTTATGCTAATTAAGTATAAGTTAAATTAATGTTCAGATAAAGATAGCAAACTTGCTTATCAAGTGATTAGTTATGCTAATTAAGTATAAGTTAAATTGATGTTCAGATAAAGGTAGTAGCAAACTTTTGATTTCAAGTGACCAAATTTGTCAAATAGCTGATATCTTAATACAGTTCAATGGTTTATAGATTTATACCATACTTCTTATGCTATAATTGAATTTTCAAATCTAATTTAATTTTTCAAAATTTCTTGTATTTCTTGAAAATCTCTATAGTTATGGATAATTTCAGAAATTGGAATTTAAAAGTAGTAATAATCTTGTCGCAATGAATCATCAAGTAGTGAAAGAAAATTCGGATAATACTCGACGATATCATCTGGAACAAGAGAAGACATCATTGCCTACAGATACTTGCAAATCTTCCACAGTACAGGTTGACATTATTTAAAATATTTGTCAACATGATGATAAAATAAACAAACATTATTGTAAATGATATGGATGACGTTTAATTGCTACTTCTTCTCTCATTTGAGAAATCTCAAATAATTACCGGGATTTCGTGAATGAATTTTAAAATATTTGTTGCAGATAACAGAAAGTACTGATATAAGCAGAAATTCAAATCAATTCTCTCCTTGCACTGAAAAAATTCAAAAACCACCGATATCAATAATTGCGGTCCAAATTACGGAGCCAAAATCGAATCGTCGAACCATTTGTACGAATGAAAATGAAACAGATCGTAGTAATAAAAGTGAAATAGTATGGTTTAAATTCAAACGAATTTTTCAAATGTTAAATTTTACTTTAATAAATTCCAGAAAATTGAACTGAGTGATAGTGATGTTTGATAAAAATTGAGATTTGAAGAAATTGAATCATTCGATTAAAAGATATAACTATCACCTGGATAAGGTAAATTAGTTCGAATTCTCCACAACAGTAATTAAGTTTCAGCATTTTTTTGGTGAAAAATGGTATCGTTGTCTTGTCCGGTCATACCGGGAGAAAGAATGCCATCTTTATCTTATCCGGTCATACCGGGAGAAAGAATGCCATCTTTATCTTATCCGGTCATACCGGGAGAAAGAATGCCATCTTTATCTTATCCGGTCATACCGGGAGAAAAAACGGCGTCTTTGTCTTGTCTAGTCACATCTGGAAGACTTTATCGAATTACGACAGAAATTTGATTCAAATATATGTCTTAAGTTACTGAAATACTAATTCTCGAATCATTCCGAAAATTCAAAAAAGATTGATTCCAATTTTTTTCAGACTCATAAAGTGAACAGTAATTTTGACTATCCTTCTGAACTAGTTGTTCCATTGCAAAATCGATCTGATACGGTAGAATTTCAACGTAGCTATTCGAATGATACGAGCAAGCAACCAAAATCAATCCTGAAACAACGTTCAGTATCACTGTTATCACCATCATCCTCTAATATCAATGATAATTCCTACGAACGTTACGTTGAAAGAGTTCATATCAACGATAGTAATGATAAGGTAACAGTATTAACAAGTTAACATTTTTTATAGAATATGTGAAAATGCATGTAAACATAAATAGCTGTTATAATCTATTATCAGTAATCTTTATCGATAAGAAGATTTAAATCCGCTTATATCAGCATAGTAAGGGATAAAATCATTTTGTTTGATATTTTTCTTAAATTATGCTTTTAAAATTTTTTTTTAAACTGAAGAAAGACGACACGAAGTAATTAATTCATCCTTGGAATACCACAATTAATGGTCGATTATCTTATCAGCAGAATAAAAAAAAATGTTGAATTTTGAATTTTAAACAAGATTTCAGAAATGATAACTGTTGAAGGACAAATTTATCCATTTAAATCGTTAAATTCAAAAATTGAGTTTATTCCTACACTGAAATTTCATACTTTTAGCTTGAAATAAATACCACCTGGGATCGAAATCAAAAATTCATTAATATTTGTAGAAGGAAATTTAATTTCATCCGTTACATTAACTATCATTTTATACTTGATGTATATCTTTTGCTTATCACAGCTTATCATTGCTTATCTTTTACTTATTATAGCTTATCATTGTTTACCTTTTGCAATACTGTGGGAATATTTCATTGGAAAAGAAACTAAACAAATATGAAAATTATAGCAATAAAATGATTATTAAATAAAAAATCTTTGCATTAGGAAGAAAAACAACAGCATCATGATCAAAGCTATGATAGATGCGGTCGAATGAGTCAATCCTCTCAATCTTCGAATCCAAGTCCAGATTCGTTCAGAAAGGAAAATAGGCTATATCATGTTATGCAAGAGAATCTGCGACAACAGAATTTAGTACGACCTCAAACACCTCGTCATCTTCCACAAGCCTCTTTTAATGGACCTTTTTTTACTCTTGAAGAAGTTCACACCAAACAACAGAGGTTTAATTTCAAACTCTCAGTATTATGAAATTATCCGTAAAGTGTTGGTGGAATTTATCATCCGGAAATATGCTTGCAATATTTCACAACTATTTGATGATGTTTCATAAAATTTCCTTATATATTTGCTAATTTTAAATTTTATTCATTTAAAATTTCTCAATTTTTCGTATCCTTAAAGATTTCAAGATTATTTTTTCTAAACATTACCTGAAATTTGAAGATGAATTTAAAAGTTGATTGGAATGGTTGAAGTTTAGAAATATCAAAGTACTATTTCTAGAGGATCATTGGAAATGCATCAGATTCCTATTGAAGAATGTCACATTGAAAGTGATTATCATTTAATCAGAAAACAGCAACACAATTCTTCTGATAATTCAAGCCATAAGTTAAGGTTTGATCTTTTTTTTTTCGCGCTAATTTATTCTTACTGTCTTTTTCATCAATTAATTTAATGAAATGAAGAAAAAATGATTGATTAATTGCTAATTAAAGTAATGAGAAATTAGTAGTAGCTTTTTCATAATTTAAATTTAATGCATTTAGATGCGGCAATCGATCAAAATCGGTTTCAGTAATGGAATTAAATACAACGGAACATGAAAAAGTATTTAATTATTAAATTTGGCTAATTATAGTTATTTAAATTTCAAAATAAATAGATGTTAATCTGATTAATTCCATGCATTTCATATTTAAATGAGTATGATACTTTTCCGCTCATTCATTTCTTCTCATTACTCTCTTATGATATCGAATCTATTCATGTTATGTTTTATTTATATCTTTATATAAATTACAGAATAATGAAATTGGAGAAAGTGTTATTCCATGGTCATCATCGTTAACAAAACATGAACATGAACGTGCTCGATCAGTTCCACCTTCATTAAGAACTCGAAATATTACGGATCCGGAACGAATTGATGAATACAATCGACAGAAGAAACTTGAATTGGAAGCAATGAGACGTCGGGAAAAAGAAGCCATTTTTTGGGGAGAAAAACAGGTAATTGTATATAATTTAGCTAAGAATTTTATGCTAATATAACCTTTAAAATATTTTAATATCATTTTATCAGTTCAGTTTTTGATAATTATACTGTAAAGTATTTTAAGAATCGTGCTTTGGAAATCCAAGAACGCTTGTATTATCAACAAATGCATGCAAAACAAAATAGAACTAGTCCGGAATTAAGTGATTCAGTGACACAATCTCATGAAGAATTGCGACAGATTGATATGAATGCTCAAAAACGACAAAAGGAACTTTATTTTGAGGTTTCTTTTCAACTTATATTCATCCCATTGCTATTATCTTTTAGTTTGAATTTTAAAAATTATCCAAAAAGCAAGAATTTCATACGACAATGACAATCAACATTTTGAAAAATTTAATTTTTCATTTTTTTTACTTGTCATTTTGTCACAGAGTTACTTGAACAACTTTTTAGAGTCATTTGAAAAAATTAATTATTCATAAATTCCATTCACAAAATCATAATTGATAGTAATGAATAAGCCAAGAAATTAATTAGCATAATTAGCTCTGTATTTATTTGAAGATTTTATAGCAATGTCTTACTTATAATATGATAGTCTAACATTTTAGGTAGTATTCAATAACTTTCATTTACATATTATCTCCATTGAATGTTATCAAGAATTAAACCTTAAATTTGCTTCTTGGCACTATTTGTTTAATTTAGACAAGCCAAGAACCACAACTGATGCATGTTTATGAAACACGTCCCATTACGGCAATATCTGAAGATGGCAAACAACCGGAATTTATTTGCTCGCCAAATTCGGTAACCTGGAAACGGTTATATATTGTTGATCAATCAAAACCAGTTGCTAAAAATGAAATTATTACCAGTGAACAACTTTTGGAAAAGGAACGATTCGATATTGATTTGTTAAAGGTAATTATTAGCATCCTATTCATATCAATTTGCTATCAGTGTTATCTATGTTATCAGTGCTATCATTGATATCAGTGTTATCTCAGATTTATAGAAAAGAATGATTATTAGATGATTAAGTTAAGTTTTATTTGATTTCTCAATGTTACAGTATTGATAATAATCTTTTGATACAAAAAGATACGATTGTTTATGATAAAGACAATGCGTTCCTGCTTTAATAATCCAAATGTTTTCTAGCGCCGAGAAGTGTTTATCGAAAAGCCAACACCTGAACCGGTAATTTTCCGGACAGGAAAACGATGGAAACCACCACCAGAACAATCATATGTTTGGCCATATATACGTAAAGCATTAAATGCTGAACCAAGCCTTGAAAGTAGCAGTAATTATTCTACAGGTAATTTTTGCATTGTAATATTTTCGTAAGATCAGAAATTTTGAATGAATTAAAATTTTTCTCCCATTTTACTTAAATAAATTTTCATCAATTTAAAGTATTTCAATTTCGATTAAATCTATTATCGATTAACTTAAAATAGGAAATTGAATATTTTTCATTTCTTGAACATGTGCTTTAATCTGCCCTTATTTCAATGAATTTTTACAGATAATGCAGCAGGTCGAACAGTTGAAAATACTGAATTCCAATGGCAACCGGTTATCCATGATCCGGAATATAAACAAGAACATAAGAATTTCACGCCAGAAAATTCATTACTTGACACACAACGAGGGTTTGGTATGTATCAGTATGAAAGTTAATTTAAAATATTTACACTTTTCAATTTCGAATATGATGATTAAAACTATACTTATTGATTTTAATTTCCTATTTAAAAATTCAATATAATTTAGGTGCTGGTTCATTAGATGAACCTGCAAAACGTCAAATCAAGTATCTTGTTCAACCATTACCGGATGGTAGCCATAGGCCAAAACCAGCATTCGGTGGTCCACGTGTTACACCATCTGGTGGCTTCTATCCTCATGCACCAAATGCTATTAAAGTGAGCTATTAAAGTGCCTAAATTTCCTTAACCTTTACCCTTTATCTGTATTTTTGAAACTTCTCTTGACAAATCAGAATGAATTTTTTTGCTTTTCCAGTTTCTTATGATAATTCTTCATGTGTTTCAAATTGTTTTTCACACACATTTCTCATCTTCAAATTTTGATAAAATTTAGATATTGAAAAAGAAACATTTCCAAAGCATACCGGAACCAACTGGTACAGATCCGGATAAAGAAGTGGAAATCATCCATCAGAGAAGATTTCATCGATTAGGAGAGTTGCCACCAACTATCACATCATCACATTGTTATGGTAAGTTTAATTGTAGTAAAATAAAATATAGTATTGGTAAAATTATTATGATTGATAGTACAACTAATTACATTAATTAGTAATGTTGATGTTTGTTCACAAAAAAACACACGTGTAATTAAAATATTATACAGACTTTTTTTTTGTTTTTCCTTTTTTTTTTTTTGTAAGAAATGATTGATTGTGGACAGTGGTTGATTGTGGACAATGTTAATGGACAAATATTACTTTCAGATATAGCAGATTGGGAGAAAATTTATGATCTTCCAGCACATTCATCAACGATAACATCACATGATACGCCTCGCAACGTGAATGTACAAGGAAAACTTGCAGCATTTGAAAATAGATTAAGGCAAACTACACCTTTAGTTCATTTACGTTTGAACTCAGGTGACACACGTCGTCCGCTACCTTCTACACGTACGTTACAATCATCAAACAATGAGCAAATAAACCGAAATGGACAGGTTGGTTATGCTCATTTTTTCTTTTTTTTTTGTTAATTATGCAATTGAAGTTTTCACTGCCATTCATTCAACTCTTTTTGTTAGATTTAAAAGACGGTTTATTTCAAAAGTTTGTTCGAGTTGATCTATAAACAATTGAAAAGTTATTAATTAAGTGATAAACTTTTCCATTTGTCTATTTTCAACCGATCGACGACCGGAAGATTATCTAAGTATTTGGTTAGATAAATCTTCCGATCAAGTGTGTTTTAAAAAGTCTTCAAAATATTTTAATTAGAAAATAAAAATTTACAATAACATTATTATATTTATGCTTAATATGCTAAAAGTGTTGTAATTAGTAGAAATGATAAGCTAATTAATCGAATTATTAATTAATTATACATTTTCATCACTTCTAATTCACAGTATAATTCACAGATGTAAAATATTTGTGATAAGTTGAGAAAGATTTACCCAATTCTGTATGAATAATCAAATTGTTATCACTTCTTTTATCAATTTTATCACATACTATTAAATCTACCTATTAATGTTCTCTTATAGTATATACGACAAGAACGTCTTCAACAACAACAACAACTTCTTTCACCAACTTCAGCACGTACTGATACTACTGATAGTAGTCATCGATCGTATCAGGTTTTTTTTTTTTTTTTGACTTTCAACACTTATAGTAGTAATCCGTTTTTTTTCTTTCTATTCCACTTCTCTCCAGAGATGAAAATTTCGTAAAATTTAGCAACAGCGAAATGAGCGACATCTAATTTCATCCAATGGTTCATTAACTCATCACATGATCGATCATCGTAATATGAATCGAAGTAATCGTACATGTTCTACAATCCATCCAAATAGCTATCATCATGAGATGATATCATCCTCAAAATTATCACATCCCATTCGTAATCATCCAGAATACAATCGTCATCAGCATCGTATTCCCATTTTTCGTTCTGGTCGTAAATCCGCTCCATCTCATCATCAACAACTAATACAACCAGGTGTACCATTAGCAATGTCACGTCGTTTGACACGTATACCAATGGGTTTTACTACAGATGGAAGTAATCCCAAAGTAATCGAAGTGGAACGATTACCATCACGAACCACAACTATCACTCATTGGTAGCAATCTAGAAGAAGTTGATTTTTCTAAATTCTTGGTATGACTTTCTTTATATGTTACACCAGAAAAAAAAAAAAAAAATGTTTTTCTCGTTTCTGTTATCTTTAAAACGTTTATTTATTTTCTTGTAATATAACACGTACATTTTACGTACGTTTCATTACAATAGCGCACGTCATTTTGTTAAAATTTGTCTTATCAAAAATACGCTAAAATTTGTTTCATTTCTTTTCAGGTAGAAATTTCTGGCTCTTTTGCAATTTTATCATCAATTAGTAAGTTTTGCTCATTTATGAACCCATAATGGATCATCTCCTCATTGTCGCAATCATTTTCAACAATACTTTAAAAAATACTTTTGTTTTACCGACATTCTCTCTCCCTCTCTCTCTCTCTCTCT